GCCATGATACCCGATCCCTACTTCCCAAGTAGCTAGAATCCAGGCTTGACCCACTGTACCAGGTTTTCTTTCATGTTCGGATAGAGTCCTGCTAGGATGCTCAAGCTGGCCTGAAACTTCCAGCTTCCCAAGTAGCTGGGACTACGGGCATATATTTCAGTACCTGGCTTTGTACTAAACATCTTTAACTTGTCACAATCTAGCTTCCAGTGGTTCAGAGATACCAAAGAGTTGCAACTTCATATTTCTATTTCCGTCCACAGTCTGTGTTGCTGTTGTACATTTGAAATCTTTACATAAAAACCTCTCAATGCATTGTTGTCAGACAGTTGTATTTACTTATTTATTTTGACAGTTTTATTTTAAAGAGACATAAATAACAAGAAAGTGTCTTCCATAGCTACCCATGCAGTTTTCATATTGGGTGCCCATTCTTGTGTAGACTGGGGTTTCTGTCTTAAAAGACTTTTATTTGACTTTTTTTCTTTTGTCGGTCGTAGGGTTTGAACTCTGGGCTTGGGCACTGTCCCTCAGCTCTTCAGTTCAAGTCAAATGCTCTACTGCTTGAGTCACAGCACCACTTCCAGTTTTCTAGTGGTTTATTGGAGATAAGAGTCTCATGGACTTTCCTGCCTGGGCTGGCTTTGAACCGTGATCCTCAGATCTCAGCCTTCTGAGTAGCTAGGATTACAAGAGTGAACCCCCGGTGCCCAGCTTTGCCCTTGTTTCTAAGGTGTTTTTCTTGCCAGGTGCTGATGGTTCACACCTATAATGTTAGCTAGTCATGAAAGTGAGATCTGAGGATCAAGGTTCAAAGCTAGCCCGGGCAGGAAAGTCGGTGAAACTCTTATCTCCAACGAACCACCAGAAAACTAGAAGTGGAGCTGTGGCTCCAGTGGTAGAGCTCAAGCCTTTTTCTTTGTTCTTTTCTCTCCCTCCCTCCTTCCCTCTCCCCTCCCCCCTCTTTCTTTTGTACTGATTCTGGAGCTTGAGCTCAGGCCTCACGTTCCCCCTTGGCTTTTTTACTCATGGTAGCACTATACCACTTGACTCACAGTCACTTTTAGCTTTTAGCTGGCAAATTGGAGATGAGAATCTCATGGACTTTCCTTCCCCAGGCTGGTTTTGAACGGCAATCCTCAGATCTTGGTTCCCTGGGTGGCTAGGATTACAGGCATGAGCCACTGGTACCTAATTTTTTTTGGGGGGGGGTGTCTGGTCATGGGGCCTGAACTCTGGGCCTGGGTGCTGTCCCTCAGCTCTTCAGCTCAAGGCCAGTGCTCTACCACTTGAGCCACAGCACCACTTCCGGCTTTTTTTCTTTTTGCTTCTGTGGTGCTGAGGAATTGAACCCAGGGCCTCATGCATGCAAGGCAAGCGCTCTACTACTGAGCCACCTTCCCAGCCCCCTGGTAACTAATTTTTTTCTCCACTTTTGGAAAAACTCTGATCATTTTTTCCTTAGAGTGTTTTCTTCTTCCATGTCTTTCCCCTCAGCCTCCAGGCTTCCGGTCTCACACGCATCTCTGCACTGGCGTGTGCACTGCCCATGGAGGCTTCTTCCCACCCTTCTGGGCACTTCTGTTCCATTTGGGAAGCGTCTGTGCTGTCAAGCCCATGCATCCTGACTTCTCCAACATTCCAACAATCTCATCTTCTTCTCAGGCACTGGATTTTCACACTAGCCCTTAAGGCTGCAGGTCCCCCCCCATACCCCCCAAATATTCAGTCTTTCCTGAAGCACCTTCTTTTCTTGTTGTTGTTGTGATTGCTTTTCTGGGGAGTCTTACTGTGTGGCCCAGGCTGGCCTTCACCACCCTCCTAACAGCTTCCCAGCTGCTGAGATCTGAGATGTGTGGCATCTCCCCCCCCCAGCTCCGGTCTATCATCTCCCCTCCCCTTCCCCCTCATCCCCTCTCCCCCCCTCCATCATCTCATAGTGCTGTGCAGGACCCTGCTACTTACACACACATTCCTGCAGGTGGCCCTGGGACGTGGCTGGCTTACCCAAGTGTGCGACGTGGCCCCTTGAGTCTCCTGCACACACTTCGTTAGGAGGGGCTGGAACGGCGGTGGAGGCCATTCATCCCACCCACAGAGCCAAGCCCCTCTTCCTTCCCCAGTGGACAGGCCTCGCTCTGGCTGTGGAGTGTGCCAGGCCCCACGGGGCTCCGGGACTCCCCTCCAGTCAGCGTGTCTCTGTGCTGCATGGGGTTCCACAGCCCTGCGGAGGCCTGCCCTCCACCTCGGTCCCGGCTCTGCCTGGAGCACGCTTGGGCCAGCATGGCCTCCACCCCTCCTGTCTGGGCTGTGGGCTCCCACATCGCTCTCACGTATGTTCACCACGGGTTATTTCAGGGGAGAGCGTGGATCTGGCCCCGATGCCTCTCCAGTCTTCCAGGCTCTGTGCAGTCCCCTTCTGTTCTCTAGTTTGCTGAGACGAGCCCTACGTGGTGCCTGCCACGCTCCAGCTCCTGGGAGGACTCAGACGCTGTGGAGGGGTCTAGGGGCCTGCCTGTGTCGGCGCATGGGGAAGACCGTCAGGGAACGGCCACCACCCCAGGTTTTCTTCGAGGGAGCAGGCTTTGCACCAGGGGTGGTCTGGCTCTGTGCTCTGGGCACTCCTGTTACCCAGGGGCAGCGAGGCTGCTGTGGGGGCGCTGTGCTGGTTCCGGGATTGGTGAGGTGGGTGGGCTGTGGGCACCCAGGCTGGGGACCGAGCAGGCCTCCATGTGGGCCCAAGTCTGGTGAGCCACAGGCAGGTCCCCCTGGGAGCCGCCACGACCCATGTCTCCACCAGGGGGCAGCGTGTTCTCACGCCTAGAGGAGCAAGCTGGAGCAGGGCAGGTGCAGGGGATGGGGCGAGGAGCACCTGGAGCCAGGGCTGGGGGCCCTGGAGCTGAGGTAGGAGGACAGAGACCTGGAAGCAGGGCACGAGGCCAGGGGGCCAGGGGGTCAGGGGTCAGGGGGCCAGGGGACCAGGGCCAGGGGGCCAGGGGTCAGGGGGCCAGGGGACCAGGGATATGGGGGACCAGGGGGCCAGGGGAACAGGGATATGGGGGACCAGGGGACCAGGGCCAAGGGACCAGGGGGCCAGGGGGCTAGGGATATGGGGGACCAAGGGGCCCAGGGGCCAGGGCTGCTGCCCCCTCCCCCACTACACACCTCGCCACACCCACCGCTTTGACACAGCCTCCCTGCCCAGCCTGGGTGGCTGCACCTGCCCACAGCCCCGCCCCTCTGTGACTGACCTCTCCACCCTTACACACCTGCCCCTACCAGCCACACACCTGTCGGACTTCACGCTTTGATGGTTCTCCTCTCAAACCCGTGGGCAAACTCAAGGCCCGCAAGTCCCAGACCTCTCCACTGGCCACCCACTCTGTCCTGCGAACCTGAGCCCCGGCACCTGCCCAACAGCCCACGGGGCCAGAGGCGGCTGTGAGCCGTTCTCACCTCCACCCACCTGCAGATGCCCAGGGATGGGTTTGGGGGGCACCGCTCTCAGCCCCTTTCAGCCCTCTCCGGGGTTGGGGGGGGTCAGCCCAGCCCAGGCCTGGTCCCTGAGGAAGGGAGGGGGAATTTGGCCCAAGCGGAGGCCCCAGGACCTCAAAGGTCACGAGTCTTGTGTTGAAGCTGGGGACAGTGTGATGAATTTTGGTTCTGATAACGTGTTAGTGGAGGGGGCACTCTGTCTGTCTGTCTGTCTCTGTCCCCGCCCAGAGAAGGCAGGTTTGGGCCAGGAGTGCACGGTGGAGGCGGGGGAGAGTCTGGAGGCCAGCGCCTGGCTGAGCCGGAGGCCTGGGCCGGGAGCCGCGCCCCGCCCCGGCGTGGGCCGCCACTCGTGTCCGCGCCGGCTCCTGAGCGGTGCCCGGAGGCCGCGGCCGGCCGTGGGGGCCCGCCCTCCTCGGGGCGCCAGGTGAAGCCGGGCGTCCGGGGCGGCCCCCCTCACCGGAGCGGGCCGGGCTCCCCCGGATCCCCGGGCTCCCGGGCACGCGGGAGGCGCGCGCAGCCGCGACCCAGGCCGAGGCCGGGCGGGGGGTCCGCGGGGGGCCGGGAGCCCGGCGCGGGGCGGCGCGGGTGCGGGGCGGGCCGCGCGGCCACCTGCTCGGCCCGGCGGGCCCGGGCGGCAGGGGGCGCGGCGGGGCGGGGCGGGGCGCGCCGCGGGGAGCCGCCGCCCGCAGGGCCGCCGCGCCGCGAGGGTTAAGCCCGGAGCCCGGCGGGCGCGCGCGCCGATTGGAGCAAAGTTTCGGGGCGGGGCGGGGCGCGGGGGGAGCCGGGGCGCGCGGATTGGCCGGAAGTTGTGCGGGGCGGGGCGCGCGGCGGCTCGGCGCTCGCTCCGGGAGCGTTGACAAAGCCCCGCAGGGAAGGACGCCTGGCGGCGCGGCGCCCCGGGCCCCTCGCCCCGCCGCCCCGCGCCCCGGCCCCGCGCCCCGCCCCGCCGCCTGCCCTCCCGGACGGCGCGCCCCGCGCCCCAGCCCGGCCCCCAGCCGCCCGCGCCCAGGTAGCGCCGCCCCGCCCGGGCCGGGCCCGGGGGCGCGGGGGGCGGGATGCGGCGCCCCGGGCGGCGGTGACCGCGGCGCGCTGCCCTCGGGCCGGGCCCTGACCCGGCCGCGCGAGCCCCGAGGAGGTGAGCCCCGGAGGTGAGCCCCGCGGCGCGCCCGGGACCGGAGGGGGGGGCCGGGCGGGGCGCGGGGGGGCGCGGGGTCCCGGCCGGGCCCTGCCCGGACCCGCGCGGCCGCCGCTCCTGCCCGGCCGCGGCCCCGCCCCGCCCCGCGCCCCACGTGGGCCCCCGGCGCAAATTTGTCCGCTCATGGCGCAGGCGGTTCTCCGCGGGGCGGCGGGCGTCGCGTCCCGGGCAGGGCCGCGGCGTGCGGGGCGGCGCGGGGCGGCGGCGATTCGTGCGAACCCTTTGTCTGCTCTGATCCGCGCAGCTCCCGCGCCTCCCGCCCGGCCCGGCCCGCGCCGCGACCGCGCCCCCGCCCAGGTCGGACGGCGAGATGACGCCGCGCCCCGCGCTGCTGCTGCTGCTGCCGCCGCTGCTGCTGCCGCCGCTGCTGCTGGGGGCCCCGCCGGCCGCCGCGCGCGGTGAGTGCTGCGCCCGCGCCGCCCCGCCGCCCGCCCCGCGGCCCAGGTGTGCGTGCGCCTCGCCGGACCAGCCGCTCAGTCCCGCGGCCACGCGGACTCCTGCCAACCCCGGGAGGGGCTGCGAGCGGCCCCGGAGCCTGCGGGGCCCCCGGCCCCCGCCGCGGCCGGCCTGGGGTCGGGGACTCACCCCGTCCAGCTCCAGCCGACCCAGTCGGGGGCCGGGGGGCCGGGGGCCCCGACCCAGGCCGGCCGCGCAGGCGCCTCGGGGACCCCGGGATGGAGGAGCATCCTGGACAGCGAGGGCCGGCCTGGACACACCTGTGGACGGCGAGCCCGGCCCGCACCGCGCTGGGGGCCCTGCCGGGGTCCAGCCCCAGCCGAGGACACCGCGGCCGGCCCGGCCTGTGTGCCTGCGGACCTCTGCCCGCCATGTTCCAGATTGGCAGGACTCGGCGCTGGCTGCAGCCTCGGCTAGGCGGGACCTGCGGTCCGGCCACCCCGGGGTGTGCTGGCCACTCAGCACCGTCCCCTGGGGCGCCGCACCCGCCCCTGCTGCCCGCCGTGCGCACCAGGTCCCGCTTGGCCTTATATGGCCACGTTCGGGTGCTGGGTGGCGGGTGGCCGCCCAGGTGGGCCTTATGCCACCACACCCGCGCCGGCCGCCTGCCGGGACTGGCTGGCTGGAGGGTGGGGCCCTCCGGGCATAGTTGGGCTGGGCAGTGTCCTGGGCATGCGGGGGCACTCCGGCCATGCCGGGCGAGCCCCCTCATTTCCTGTAGACCACAGGCTCCTCCACCCCTGCACCTGCCTGTTCTCCGGCCATATGTCCGGGGAGGCTCTGGAGGCCTCTGTGCTGCCACGGTCACTGGCCAAAGCTTAAGACTGACTAGCGGCTGAAATGGGCATGCAGACCCTGGCTTCTTCACTGGGGGGAGCCTAGAGGGCCCACCACGTCCGCCCTCCCTCCGTGCCCGTGGCTTAGAGGCCACACCTTGTGTCTGGCCCCGACTCTGCCTCAGGAGAGTGTGGCCGGCACCGGGCCCGGAGTGGGCTGCCCTCCCAAGGGCAAGGGCTCCCTGGTTGGGAGAAGGTGGGGAGGAGCCCAGCCCGGATGGGAGGGTGAGCTGAAGTCATTTCTCTGGAGAGCAAACCCAGTTTGGACCTCAGTTGAGCTGGGAACCAGGAGCGGGGTCTGGGCAGTTTTGAAAGCCATTTCCCTGGGGTGCCCACAGCTCCTGCTCTGCGTCCCTAGATTCGGATCCTATTTTAAAAGCTGCCCTTTGCCCAAAGTTTCACAATTTTGATGGGTTTGACTTAGATTGGTTTTTGAAGCTTGAAGAGATGGGACTCGATCTTCTCCATTCTACTCAGAAGGCTTAGGATGAAATGCCTTTCGCAAACGCTGACTGCCGTGGGTTCCTGGGGGTGCTGCCTCTGCTCTCTGCAGGGGCAGTTCAGGGGCCATTCTGTAAACAGCCAGCCCAGGTGATGGCTGTCCTGTCTGGTGGGCCCACGGCCATGCCTGCGGGAAAGGCGCCACTGGGGCAGCCCCGCTTGGTTCTGTCAGGAGGAAGCACTGGTGATGGTGGCTGGGGAGGCTCTCCAGGCCTGTCCGTGCGGCCCGGCCCCGCTGGCCCCGGTACGTGCAGGGCTGAGGTGGATGTGTGGAGGCCAGGCTGGGTGCTGTGGGGAGGGCATGTCAACCAGCCTCCATTCACATCTGGGCCCTGCTCTGGGAAGGGAAAATAAATCACCATCCCCTCGTGGGGGAGGGAGCAGTGAACAAAGTCGTCTTTGGCTGGGCCTAGAAGTACTAACCGCAGACGCCTTTATCCTTTGTGCAGGAATCAATGGGCCTCCTGCTCTCAAAGTTGCCTTTCAGCCTGCCTGCCTGCCTTGCGTTATAGCCCTAACTAGAGGAAATATTGGTTTTTCCCTGGCTGAGGCCTCTGGCCTCGGCTTGCCTGGCCTTGGCTCAGTGTTTGCTGACGGTGCTGGGGCAGTGGACTGTGGCTCCTGAGACTCAGCCCCTGTAGCTGGCTACCTGCCCACCAGGCAGCCCCCTCTGCCCCCAGTGCCTCATGGGGTGACATATCCAAACAGTAGTTCTAGTGGGTGAAGGGAAAGGCATACCTAGACCGCACAGACATCTCCTGTGCCTGCCACATGCAGTGGTCTTTGTATGTTCCTGGGCACACCCCAGGTGCCCAGTCCAGCTGCCCCCGGGTGGAGCAAGCAGACTCCTCCCAGGTGGGGCCGCAGCCCAGGATGGCTGGGGAGGAACAGAGCAGAGCGTGGGGAGGGAAGGGGGCTTGGCAGGGCCCGGCCTTTCGGGGCTAGGAGGAGAGCTGATCCTTGGAGGGCAGGAGGCAGCTGTGCAGATGGGAAGCTGCTGAAATCCAAGGGTTCTAGCTTGGCAGAAAATAGGACCCCTCTCCTCAAGACTGTTTATTTCTTGAGAGATTTGTGCAAGCTGACCTGAGGCCACAGAGACAGAAATGGGGCCGTTACAGTGGATGGAGAGGACCCTGCGCCGTCCAGGCCTGGCTGTGGGGTTGGTGGGGGGACCCTGTGCTGCCCATGCCTGGCTGTGGGGTTGGTGGTGGAGGGACCCTGCGCCGTCCAGGCCTGGCTGTGGGGTTGGTGGTGGAGGGACCCTGCGCCGTCCAGGCCTGGCTGTGGGGTTGGTGGGGGGACCTGGCTGTGGGGTTGGTGGGGGGACCCTGCACTGCCCAGGCCTGGCTGTAGGGTTGGTGGGGGGGACCTGGCTGTGGGGCTGGTGGGGGGACCCTGCGCTGCCCAGGCCTGGCTGTGGGGTTGGTGGTGGAGGGACCCTGCGCTGCCCAGGCCTGTCTGTGGGGTTGGTGGGGGGACCCTGCGCTGCCCAGGCCTGGCTGTAGGGTTGGTGGGGGGGACTTGGCTGTGGGGTTGGTGGAGGGACCCTGCGCTGCCCAGGCCTGGCTGTGGGGTTGGTGGGGGGACCCTGCGCCGTCCAGGCCTGGCTGTAGGGTTGGTGGGGGGGACCTGGCTGTGGGGTTGGTGGAGGGACCCTGCGCCGTCCAGGCCTGGCTGTGGGGTTGGTGGGGGGACCCTGCGCCGTCCAGGCCTGGCTGTGGGGTTGGTGGTGGAGGGACCCTGCGCCGTCCAGGCCTGGCTGTGGGGTTGGTGGTGGAGGGACCCTGCGCCGTCCAGGCCTGGCTGTGGGGTTGGTGGTGGAGGGACCCTGCGCCGTCCAGGCCTGGCTGTGGGGTTGGTGGTGGAGGGACCCTGCGCCTTCCAGGCCTGGCTGTGGGGTTGGTGGGGGGACCCTGCGCTGCCCAGGCCTGGCTGTGGGGTTGGTGGGGGGACCCTGCGCCGTCCAGGCCTGGCTGTGGGGTTGGTGGTGGAGGGACCCTGCGCCGTCCAGGCCTGGCTGTGGGGTTGGTGGTGGAGGGACCCTGCGCCGTCCAGGCCTGGCTGTGGGGTTGGTGGTGGAGGGACCCTGCGCCGTCCAGGCCTGGCTGTGGGGTTGGTGGTGGAGGGACCCTGCGCCTTCCAGGCCTGGCTGTGGGGTTGGTGGGGGGACCCTGCGCTGCCCAGGCCTGGCTGTGGGGTTGGTGGGGGGACCCTGCGCTGCCCAGGCCTGGCTTTGGGGTTGGTGGGGGGGACCTGGCTGTGGGGTTGGTGGGGGGGACCTGGCTGTGGGGTTGGTGGGGGGGACCTGGCTGTGGGGTTGGTGGGGGGGACCTGGCTGTGGGGTTGGTGGGGGGATCTGGCTGTGGGGTTGGTGGGGGGACCCTGCACTGCCCAGGCCTGGCTGTGGGGTTGGTGGGGGGGGACCCTGCGCCGCCCAGGCCTGGCTGTGGGGTTGGCAGTGGCATGCTGACTGGCACAGTGAGGGTCAGATGCCCCTCACAGAATTGGTTCCTTGTCTACCACCGTCTGGCAGTGCTCTGGGGCTGCACCCACCCTCCCTGCGGTGGGCCAGGCCCCAGTTCACGTGCTGGCTCCAGGGCATCGAGGACCCCGCTGTGCTTCGTGGCCTCTGGGTCTGGGAGAAGTCCACCTAGGGCTGACAGCCTACCCCCTCCAAGGGCCGGTGGGCACCCTAGAGCCCCGGGGACCCCTGAGCTGTGTCCTGGTGTCTCTGGACTCAGGGTCAGTATCTGCCGGGAAGCAATCCTCCCCCTGGCGTGATGAGTGGTGGGCTGGAGTTGAGGGCTGGGGCTGGGGTGTCTTAGCATGTGGAGGTCTGCGTTCCCGGGCCCCAGGCAGCCCCCGCTGCTGCGGTGGTGTACGGGGCTCCTTCCAGGGTGGGGGTTCTGTCTGGTGACACTGCCTGCCATGTGTGGCCTCTGTGGCAGTGTGTCCACAGAGGTGTGTGCGTGTGTGTGCACGCGCATGTACACGTGCATGCACCTATGAGGGCTGGCCATCCACATCGGATGGGCGTTTGGGTCTTAGGATGGCCCCTGAGCCCTCCCTTCAGACCCCCATTCCTGGCCTTGCCTCCTGGAGGAAAGGGGGCTGGCTTTGGGGTCTAAGGAGGGCTGGCTTTGGGGTCTGTGGGGGGCTGGCTTTGGGGTCTATGGGGGGCTGGCTTTGGGGTCTATGGGGGGCTGGCTTTGGGGTCTACAGGAGCTGGCTTTGAGGTCTAAGGGGGGCTGGCTTTGGGGTCTAGGGGCTGGCTTTGGGGTCTATAGGGGCTGGCTTTGAGGTCTAAGGGGGGCTGGCTTTGAGGTCTAGGGGGGCTGGCTTTGGGGTCTATGGGGGGCTGGCTTTGGGGTCTATAGGGGCTGGCTTTGAGGTCTAAGGGGGGCTGGCTTTGGGGTCTGTGGGGGGCTGGCTTTGGGATCTGTGGGGGGCTGGCTTTGAGGTCCGTGGGGGGCTGGCTTTGGGGCCCATGAGAGGCTGGCTTTGGCGGTCCATGGGGGGCTGGCTTTGGGGTCTAAGGGGGGCTGGCTTTGGGGTCTAAGGGGCTGGCTTTGGGGTCTATAGGGACTGGCTTTAGGGCCTATAGG